ACATTGTTCACAGAGAAAAAGAATATTCATCTTGAAATGAGATTATATTGCGTTAAACGAAGAAAACTTGGTTGAATGAAGTCATTTGAAATAAAAAATGGAAATAAGAAGTCTTATATAAGAAGATATAGTTTGTATTGCGTTAAACGAAGAATAAACCTTGATTGAATGAAGTCATTTGAGATAAAAAATGGAAAAAAAAGTCTTATATAAGAAGATATAGATTGTTTTGTATCAAATCAAGAATATTCTTTTTCTCTGTTTATAAATAAATAATATAAGAGCATTTAAATAATTACATAATACAAATAATTATATAGATATCAATTTTCCATTTAGGCGCGAGAGTGATCTTGGCCTGTCGAAACGTTGAGAAAGCAAATGCCGCGATTGAAGATATAAAGCGTAATCCATTTCCGAGGTAAATATACAAAATTGCAATATTTATACTAAGCTTGCATGCATTAATGTGTTACACAAAACTTACTTCGACATGTATAAAACTTAAAATTATTAAATTTTATTGTTGCGTCTTTTCGGCGATGCTAATCCATTTTCTAATGTTACGTTTATTTTATCACGGAAATCTCAACATATTTTAAAGTGAGTTGGAAAGATTAGATGTCATGTAACTAATTTTAAATTTTTATCATGTTGAGCTTGATAACATTGTTTTGCACTTGATAATATTTGTGTTTGCATTATACACAATATATTATGTTATCACAAATAGTTATAATTAAAGTTGGCAAGTTCCATTTTTACCCTGGAATAACACGCGTAGCACATCGTATGTTGCATAACTACTATGCAACTATTACTATGCAAATTATTACTTAGTAGCAAGCGCGTGGCGTACAAAAAATCGGTCTCAGACATGAAAAACAAGTCTGCATTCATAGCCCGATCTTCTATTTAAATACCGCTTTAACCACAATCTTAAGATATTATAAACCAATCACAGAACCGTCTTAGCATCTTAAGACATTATATAAGACCGTCATGAAATAAAAACGAACTATGAACAGTATGAATACAAACCATTGGTTGCAAAATACAATTACAAAAAACTGTTTGAGCTACTCTGTATTATATCATATGCAAATAAGTGCGTTTATTGCAAACTCTTATAAGTCTTATGTATATACACTGTATATGCACTAATTGCACGCAATTTGTCTAAAATTTTTATAGAAATAATTTCAAAGTAAATGTTTGCTGTTAATTGATTTGGACGATTTGGGCATGTATGCTTGTGAATAAAACACTAGTGCAAGAGATTAAAAACTTTTTTGTTTGTTTAAGAATAAATTTGACTGATTAAAAAAAAGAAATATTGCGAACATATTAATGATTATAATTTCAAATTTCTTTTGTTAATAACTTTTTTAATAAAAAGCCGTCGAGTTTTGCGCGTTACTCAGGATCGTGTTCTTGACAATATACGTAAAGTCAAAGGTGAAATCTGTAAGGTCGGAACTAATATGCATAATTACCTGTTTGTATTAATATTAATATATTTTCTTTAGTATAATACTTATATTAATCCGTCTGTATACAAGTTTTTTACACCCTTGGAGTGTATACGTGAGTCTGTCACATTTGACGCTATTTTTCTTTACTTTATTGTATTTAAAAGAATAATCTGAAAAACTTCAAAACGTCTGTCTACATTGTAGTTGACGATTTTATAATTATTTTGATAAACATCGTTTATTCAATACTTTTTGGCAGGCTTGCAAGTTTTACAATTGCAGATATAATTTTGGCTCGGACGCCGTAGACCCACGTATACAGACGGAGGGTTAATATAATACATTTTTAAATGTTACAACAGTATATTATAGACTGTATCGAAAGGAAATTAAATACAGTAATCATTGTGCTTCTTAACATTCAGCGCTCCTAGTAAACTATTGGAAGGCAAAAATAAGCTAGGCAATCTTGCGATTTATCAGCTGGATCTCTCTAGCTTTAAAAGCGTAAGAAAATGCGCTAAAATGTTATTGAGAGAGGAATCGGCCATTCATATATTAGTAAATAATGCCGGTATGATGTTCACTCCGTACGAGATAACTGAGGATGGATTCGAGATACAGCTGCAATCGAATTATCTTGGACATTTCCTCTTGACGTTGTTATTATTACCGAAAATGCAATCGTCCGGTCCTGGCTGCAGAATAGTCAACGTATCATCACTTGCTCACATATGTACGTAAAAAGTAAAACAGAGAAATTAGATGTAAGAAATAAAAAGAAAAAGATTATTAAATGTATTATATATTATTATATTATTGTTGTAAGAATTTTGTATTTTTTACGTGATTGAGATCGATCGCGTTTGCAATGCTAGTAGAATATGCAGTAAAATATTTATTTATAAAGAATTAATTAGAATTTTGAAAACTCTCTGTGTACAATAATATAAAAACTGTTTGAAAATTATCTAATTAATATATTACACTCTATTGTTGTATTATTAATATGTAATTATATAATAATATACATAATTAGTATAATATATATCAAATTATTAAATGGTAAATGTAATCAAATACTAATTAGTCATTAAATAATATCTATTGCAGTTGGCCAAATACATTACGATGATATAAATCTGGAAAAATCATATTCGTACATTCGTCCTTGGAAGGCATATATGCAAAGCAAACTGGCGAACATATTATTTACGAAGGAACTTGCACATCGATTGGAAGGTAAGAAAAATAAAAATTGTATGTATAAAAGAATTAAAACTAAAAGAAATGGCTTATAAAAAATACTACATTTATTACATAACAATTATCTATATACAGTTGTCATCTAAAAAATATAAAATTCGAAGTATAGGTTCCAATAGAAAACCGCACGAATATAGAAAACGGGCTAACTAAGAACCAGGCGCGGTAAATAATGTGCGAAAGTTTTAATACAGTTAAGGTTGGAAGATATGTAAAATGGAAATAGAAATAAACACCTTCACATGCCCGTTCTAGACTGGAGGATAATCCTACTCGCGGCCCAGGTTCGGACCTCGAACTTTCTTCATTCCGTGTGAAGGTGTTTATTTAAACAGTAAAAAATCGTGCGTCCAAATGTTAAAATTTTCTTGTGTTACCAAGATTTGACTTTCAATGTAAAATTAACAAACAACAGCTATGTTATTATTTTCGTAACATTTTCATGTGTTATATTAATGTCAACGTGATAACTTAACACTTTATGTATGTCATTTAGAAATTGAATATTATTTTGAGTTATTTTAACATAATTATTTCAAAAAATCAACACGCCTTAAAGTTATTTTAACATAAACAAAAGTTAAAGTAAATCTTCAAATAATTGTAAACTTTGACATACAAAATAATCAAATTTACTACAATCAAATGTTCAAAACAACATTTCTCTTAAGTTGAAATAACTATCGTTTATTCAAATATGTTATATCGACATTTTTTACAAGTTATTTTTACATTATACTTAAAGTTAAAAAAACAAATATAAATGTAAAATATAGTGTCAATAAATTAACATTTCTAATTTGTCAACAAGTAACACACAATGAATGAGTTATTTTAACTCAAAATTTAGAGTGGACTTTCTGGGACATTTGAAAAATGTTACGATTAACATTTTATTTTTTACTGTGTATATTTCTATTTTACATATCTTCCAACCTTGACTTCGCGTCGACTAAATTTGTCAGATTTGAAATCCCCCCCCCCTTACACCTAATTAAATCGATTCGATTGAATCGATTCGATTTAATTAGATGTAGGGGGGGGGATTTTACTACTCCAACCGGAGCTGTGTGTGTTTCAAGTCTGACAGATTTTAGTCGGCGCGAAGTTAAGGTTGGAATAAGATATGTAAAATAAAATAAAAATGAAACTTTCGCGCATTATTTACCGCGCCTGGTTCTTATTTAGTCCATTTTCTATATTCGTAAAAAATATAAATTTGATATTAATAGATAATTAGATATTAATTCTCTTGACGGATTGAAATTATCTTGAAAGATAATTAAATAGTATATTTAATTAGAGTTTATTACGTCTAGGAAAGTAAATAAAAAATATCAATTATAAATTAATAAGAATTTTTTAGATTAGTTATTATTATTCATTATATTGTAAATGCTTGATTATCAGGCAACCTAACCATTTTTTATATAAATTTGATTTCAGAGGCGAAAATTAGTGGAATAAACGTATATTCTTTACATCCTGGTGTCATAAGAACCGAATTGAGTCGAAACTATAATAGGACGATAATTCCGGGTGCAACGTTTTTTGTTCAATATATTATGCGCCCATTTATTAAAAATCCGGAACAAGGAGCTCAAACAACAATATACTGTGCGGTTGATGAAAAGACAGCTAATGAGACTGGTCTCTATTACTCGTAAGGGCAAGCTATATATGATAGCAAACATTTTTTTTATAAACCATATCAATAAATATAATTTAATAAACTCTAAATTTATAATATAAAATGCGAGATTAAGGCGCGAATGTATAAGTGATAAAAATTTCAATGTTTTTTTTTCACGTTGCATGCAATTTATTCGTAGTAGATTTCTCTATTTGATGTCTCGATACCAATGTCGATGATTAAACTTTTAATTTAAAACTGATTGAGAATTTAATTAAAATTGTCGACTAATGGAAACATTGATAGAGATAAAAACCGTATAGTAGATAAAGAACTGTACGCATGAATAGTTAAATTACACATAAGTGAAAAAAAACATTGAATTTTTAATTATACGTACATCCGCGCCTTAGATTTGTATTGGCCTTACATAAAATTTATATATTTTTTAAAAATAAAAATGCCATATAATTCCATTCAATTTATGCTTTTCATAGAGAATGCCGTGTTACCAATCCAAAATCGATTGCAAGGAATGACCAAAAAGCCAAAATTTATATATATTTTTTAAATAAATATGCCATATAATTCCATTCAATTTATGCTTTTTATAGAGAATGCCGTGTTACCAATCCAAAATCGATTGCAAGGAATGACCAAGAAGCCAAAAAATTATGGAATTACACTTGCCAACTTCTACAATTAGAATTAAATGAAGACTTTTCTGCATTTTTGGAAACTGTCTCGCTCCAACTTGATAAATAATATTTCTTTGAATGGATTGTCATGGGTAACACACATGATTTTTCTGCCGCATTAGGCAGATGTTTACAATATGTGACGTATAAAGATACAAAGAATAACGATAGAATATAAATAATTTTCACAAATATAAATTAGATCTAATAAAGATGCATAAATGTTCCTACTATATTTTAACAAAATAAGATGTCAAATTAATGTAACATGTTACATGTGTCTCTTTTTGAGATACTATGCGATTGTCACTGCTAAAAAAGAGAATAATAATAATAACAAAAAAAAACACTTTAAACATTAAATGTCCAAAACAATTACTTATAATGTGTTGTATATTTAAAATTAAATTGCAATAAGATAACAATGTATCAAGAGTAAAACATATATGTGTAAAACTCTTGCAACTTAGCTGTTAGTTTAAATTATTTTTTAACAGAAACTCTTAGCTATATAATTCGATAAACACTCGATGACTTATAAAATATGTTACGGATAATTTATTTTGAGATATATTATTTCAACATTATATTTGACCAAGAAACAGGGCTATTAAACTTATTACAAGCTCATTTACAAAATAAATTTCTCCAGACTTTAAATTATTTTGGTACACAATTACTTCTAACAGCGATTCTGTTGCATTTAATTACCGATTACCTATAAAGATCATTATGGTAAAAAGTAAAAAGTTAGTTAGTAATTAAATTAATACTTTATGTATGTTATATATTACTACGATTAGATTTATATATTATATATTACTAAATGGTGCTAATGTTCTAATTTAATATAAGATAATTGGACTATCTTCTTGTATTTTATTTAAATATAATATTTACGATTAATTTCAGAATAACAGTTTTAATCTTTATTTAGATCTCCTTTATCCAACAGGCATCTGTAAATATTTTACAGTTTTCAATAATACATTTAAGAAAGACGTTATAATATAATATCTTAAAAGAACTGCACACAATGGTGATTATCACAGCTCATGAACTGATAAACATCCGTGCTTATCGGCAATTAATTGCTTCCCATTTGTAAAAAAAAGTGTATTTCCATCAATAATTATTAGCTGACGTAAGAATTTGTGCATAGTTAAAATAAGAATTTATGTTAAAGCAGTCACAATTGTTACAACTATTACATTTGCAATTATACACGGAGAAAATTGTTACGGTTGTTACAACAATGTTCTCTATGATTAAAAGAGAAATGTATGTGAATTCAAGTTAAATTGATATTACATTGAATGTAGCTGTTAAGATATGCCCATTTATACAGTTGTCATAACCGTAGTTCTTACGGTACGTAACATTCGGTTATAATACCCTCGTATATGGTTGCCTCAACCAAAGGATTATTGCTATCCCTCTTATGTGGTCTGCAGCACAACTATTATGGTTGAGAGATCCATAAGATATAGCTGCACAGTACAGCACTGAATCACTGCATGATTGAGAGTTTAGTTCCATTGCGCGCGCAAAAGAATTTCTGCATAGAATAAAGTGGATTTGATAAGGATGTTTTAACTTTAAGGCCTATCTTCATAAGACGCAGAACGCGAGTCGCAAGCACACACAGTCTACATGTCAATCTAACCTTTTTGTGTATAGAGGTTAGATTGACATGTAGACTGATAACATTATCTTTTTTTATTATGTAGTTCTATTTCTGCTGCACTTGTTTTCGTAAAATCCATGTTGCATATATTGTACATACGTTGGATAGGCGAATAAAACGAGTTCGGTGAAATAGAGATAAAATTTGAATGTACATTGGTTATTGCAAATGAGAAAATAAATAACTATAAAGAGAGACTTTCGTATTGATTAATTATTATTTTTACGTTAATTATAATTAAACATAAATGTTTTATATTATTTATAAGTTTTTTTTTGAGAATACTTTCTACAAGTAAATGTTCAATTCAATGATTTTTAGTCTTGTTATTTGTTTATAATCGTATATTGCTTAGATTTAGGCCACGATTTCCATGATTATGATTGACAATATAAATCTGATGCCGTCGTTTTTAAACAGAACGCCATGATTAATGTTCGTGGGAGACCATGCACAGGATAATCGTGATTTTATACTTTCTCCTAAAAGAGGTCGGTGACGGGCGGAAACATCCACCATCGATGTGCAAGCGTATCGACTATCGACGGAAAAACTGGTAATGTACGCTATGCAGCTAACAATAAGTGCGAAATCGCTTTAACATTGACACTCGAATGTCTTGTGATGATGCAACACATCAGGAAGCGTCTAATAATATAATATACGCGTGATGTGTCGCGCGTTATTTAAGATACGCATGTTCTAAAGTAGCTTGCATCGGACAAATACACTAATCATCGAGTTATTTTCGTACATGACGAAACCTGGCTTCCATTAGACAGGCTACTCACGTATCAATCGACACAAGTAACATTGACTATCGAACCAGAGTTATTAAGATTCCATCGCGGCATCGGTGCAGAAAATGCATTATCTATTACCTGAAACTTTTGGAATCTATTATTATTGAGAGACAGGCAATTCACATCCACGTCGCTTTCTAAATGTATATTATTTCTAAAAGTATAGATGGCATAAAAGTATTAATGTACCTTCCAAGTCTATAAATTTTCCTTTATCATTACTTTCTCGAAAAGAAATAAAAAATATTATCAATTTTTATACATCGCCTTTATATACATCTACGTAGAAACTCTGTCGTACTACGCGTTTTGCTAATTATATCGCGTCGCTAGAAACGAAGGGCATCAAGTCACGTAAACGTATGACTGCTCCGATTGCAAATTAATTCTTGATGCACAATTTAAAAGAATGGATGAGACTGTTTTGTTAGCCATGAGTATAAGTCTAATTATTAAAAAGATACGTGGGTATGCGTATAATTACGAGGTCTGCTTCAATGATACGGGGGTCTAGGTAAACGTGAAAAGCGAGCAAGGCCAAAGTGAAGGCAACCCGGCATTGAGTAGCGCGATGCTTGAAAGAGTAGCATGAAGTAACGATGATGCAATCACCGGTTTCATCGAGGCCCACCTCTGCTAACAGGAGCAATGAGAGTATCAAAAGCCTTAACATGCGTCCATGGTGCCTATTATAAAATCGTTTAATATATGTGTGTGTGTGATAAGATATAACTATAAAATATATATGGAACACTATAATAGGATATTATTTATAATTCTTGATTTTAAAAGCTTCGTCTATCAAAGGATTAATCTATTTCATTATGAATTGGATCTGTACTGTTTTCTTTTTGCTGTATCACCTTTCTGCTGTGTTCTCTTTCTCTCTCTTTCTTTCTCTTATATATCTATATCTATATATTCTCTTTGATTATTTATTCTCGGAGCTTCTTTTCTAGCAAGATGACGCGCGTAAAATCAGACAATACATTTTTTTATTAGGAGATATTACTGGCAAAGCTCTTCATTCCGTATGACAGTGTCTGCGAAGAGGTTGCGCCGCGTTTGTGTTCAGTCGAGCGGGCGATAGCTTTTTGTGGAAATAGATGTTGTAATGATTGACTTATTGAATGAAGATATTTTAAACGGATCTTTTTGTGCGAGATTGAAATAGCAGTTGATGGCTTTTCATCCTGTATTTATATTAGCGTTCTCTCCGAAACGAACAATAACTTTTTAGATATCAAAGAAAAAATTGTTTTTAGCCAAAGAACTTAATTAACTTTACGTAGAAAAAATTCATTGAGACATTTATTGTATCATTATCGTATTAAGAAATAAGATAAGTAAATATGCAGTGAGTCTCCATGAATTCTCAAGTATTTTATAATTTGCAGCATTATCTATTTGAATCTCGTAAAAATCGATTGAGAATTTGCGCTGTGAATGTCGTTTATGGAGAATAAAGATATAAAAAAGGATCTCTGTTCGAGTCATCGGTTGCGATCTTTTTAAATTTTCGATTTTGTCTGGTCAACGATCCCAGGTGAATGTCCGGCTACAAGGATATGCAGGCGTCTTCGAGGACGAGAAAAAAATTAACGCGCCCACATCGCTTTATCTGACATAGCATTCTGTGCGGTAACGGCGCGAAATTTTAAGTCCAGCAATTACGTCATGCTTGTCGTGGAAGGCATGCCAGATCTAGTTCCATCTGACAAGTAGGCGGTTTGCCATGGAACATTATTCCGCTATCCAACCATAACAATCACAGTACGAGCCCATTTGCATAATTATCGCCGAAATTACTGAATTCCCACAGTATGTCACACACTTTAGCAACATTTTCACACGTGTGATATAGAAGAAGAAGATAGTGGTGTGTCTCTACACATTCGCATTCTATCGTCATTCTTTTTTAAGTTTGCAATGCGACAGATAACGGCATAATGTTCTTGGTTTATTCTAAAGTTTTCTAAACTAAAGAAATTTGTGTAATGAGGAGAAAGCAATAGCCTAAAAAATATTTACAATAAAAAAGATAAAGTTGCCTTTAACAAAAAATCTGTTACTGTCTTTTATTTTTCGTTGGTCATCGATTCGTCTAACAACCTGAGTCATACAGGAAGGAATCTTAAAAAATATATCCTTGATTCTCTTGAAAATATTCCAGGCATGGTCATCGATTGGCGCTTAAAGACACATGTTTAGTAATGTTCGCCGCCTCGCGTTCACGTAGAGCGATCACGAAGGCGATCATTACGCTACGTTTTCCCGCTCTGCAATTTCACTGTCATGCGTGTGCAAGAAATATTTCCGGCGTTTCGCAAAATTTCACGCTGTTACTATTCAGACGCTGAGAATGCATTCTTGTTAATCAACGCCGATTAAATGCGATTTCAAGTTTCCACACTTTGGAGCCGATGAAAAATGCGAGACAAAGGATCGTATTTAGGCGTCGCGGAAATCGCGTTCCTTGCACGACGCGGTGCTGGAATTCAAAATTCGTCGTGGGAAAATTCTCTGCTAGTTTGCAACTTTCTGAGACACTCTAATAACGTAACATATATCGTTTCATTATTATTATCCAAAATGTGACAAAGATGCGTGCATCTATAATTTTGCTGACTCACAAAATTCACATTGTTGCTATTTTAATAGAAGATAAATAATAATTTAAAAATATATTATTTTAAATAAAGAATTTAAATATTACAGTATATTTACTTCATAATTTCAGTGATAATTTATGCAAGTACTGTGACTGTTATGACTAGATTGTTTTAATTATAACATAGATATCAATTTTTTTTAATTATTTAAAAATATTTCAAGGAAATAAAAAAATGTGTCACTTCACGTACCACATATAAAACAATTTCTAATAT